GATTCCAAATAGGAATACCCAATTATTTATTTAACTATTTTTTTAATAGTAACTATATTTGATAGGTCCGTCAAAACCCTCAGAAAATGCTAGAAAATGCAATCGAGGGATAAATAAAAAATCTTTAGTATTAAAAAATGGTTAAATAAACCATTGTGTATTGGTATTGGACATCTCCTGAAGAGAACCAGAGTTTTCCGAATAAAAAATATTGATTTTAAAGAATTCTATACCACTTCTATGAAAGGTGGTTTTTTCCGATCTAAAAAGCATGGAAAACTTTGAGTGACTTCTAAATAATTTTTGATTTCCAAATAAAAAATGGGGATATATTTTTTCGATATAGAACAATCCTACGGTGTCAGAGCTTTAAAATTGCGACTATAATTATTTTGGGTCACCCTAATGTACATACATATATACATATGCATGAACAACAACTGCATACAAATTGTTATACGTGGTAAGTGACGTGATGATTGTGCCAACCAATTTCATGAATCATCATGATACGCTGTCAGTGGCAAATCTGTGCTAAAGAAACCCGTTACATGGTTAAAAAAATTTAAATTGATCATTACACTGGCCAACAAAATTTTGCGGCACAGCTGATTTTTATAGGATTATTTCCTTGGATTAAGAATCTGTCCTTGAAATTATTCAATTGGCTCTAGTCTTCGATATATTTAGGATTAAAAGTATTAAAAAACGCATTTTCACTTTTTTTTTAACTGTCGTAGTAGAATAACGATGCAATGAAAAATTTTCTGAACAGCATAAGTAGAAAGCTTAATAGTTTACCTTTTTTCCCCAAAAGATAAAAATAATTCTTTCTGCAGACGTTAGTAGAAAAATGTAAATTTTTATCTTTTGTAATGAAACTAATTTTCAACGCAATTTTCCAATTCTAACAACGAAAACATAAAAGACGTGCTCAAGTATGATAAAAGGGTGAGTATTAGGGTGATTGACTCGGGTTTTCAAATAGGTTTCAAACGGTTTTTTCAATAGTTTAAGCCGTTTTTTTTATGTCCCGATTTTACGAATACTGAGTAAACCGGTTTTTTACAATCGAATAAACCGGGGTTTCACCTAGTTTATATATATATATATATATATATATACATATACCTGAATTTTAAACTTCCAAATATTTATTTTATCGAAAGTGGACGACATTATTTTATATCTGAATACTAGACAATTTTCTACTGAAGAAAAAAAAAAAACAGTGAAAGATTTTCGCTAGTTTTTCATTTTTTTTTTTTGTTTTACTTGTAATCCAAAGTACTTCGAACTTACTTATTTTGCATTATTGATTTCTAAATTAAAGCCGTGCCTTCTTTTAGCAAGTCATATTATAATTCTAGGCATAATTTCTGACTATCAGCAAATGTTAACCTAGAGAAAATATGTATCTGTAAAATAAAATTGGTTTATCCGTTTTTTTTTTTTAATTTGAAAATTGCGAACCAGTTTTTTTCGAGCTGCCATTTTTCGAATAAATCATAAATAGATTTTCCAAAAAAGGTGAATTATCGAACTCCCTAGTGAGTATATTCTTCACCGACTGAATATATTGAAGTATATGATGACCAAAACCCTATAAGCATTCAGTTAGGGGGTAGTTTGGAACCAGCTCGGGACTATATACATATATAATATAGTTCCAAACTGGTCACCAACTAGTCGCGAAATAATCCCGAAATGGTCCTGAACAAGCCCCGTCCTTTAAGACTTAAACAATGTTTTCGCACTCATAATTATTATAAAAATACTTTTATAATATAAGTCTTAAAATAAAAGTCTTTGAGGACTTAAAAATATTTAACTCGCTGATAATTATGACAAGACTTTTATTATATGTCTTAAAATAATAGTTATAGGCAACTTAAAAAGATTTATTACACATAATTATTATCAAAAGACTTTTATAATTTTTACAAAAATTTTGATGACTTTTCTAAAACTCCACCATGAAATAATTATTATTCTGGGTCTCTGTTTTTTTTATATGTCTATACACTTTCCATAGTGCTAGAAATTTCTTTCGAACTCATATTATATTAAACCGATTTCGCTCTAAAAAAAATTGCCTTGGCAGGACTATATTCGAGCAATTCGAGGCAAAACCATGTTTTAACCCATCTTTATCCCCCTTCTCTAGCACTTTAGGCTATACCAAATATCCGCTCCTCAAACAATTCAGATTCAGTGGATTCCTCTTTAGCACTCGACACTCGACAATTTTCCGAAGCTTCGACTTTATACCTGAAGAAACAGTGAAGTCTTCGCTATAACATCTGGTACAAAATATCAGTACAACATATGTATGTATGTACCATATGTATTCCCACTGAAAATTTTATCCCAACTGAAAACATATTTATTTAGATTTTAAATTATATCCCTTACAATTTACCTTTAAAGTTGTTAATTTGTACAATCATTAAAAAGTTCAGTGCTGCCAATAAGCAGATAGATAATAAGTATAGCAGCACACGCCTGTTTATGAACAAAAGAAAATGCATATTTTCACGTGCTGCCGTAAACCCTATCAATAAGTGCATAGTAAATCAAAGCAGCCGTGGCACAGGGATGACTGCCGACAATGGCCTTCGCGTTCTTATGCACTTACTCGTAAATGAGACGTGTTGGTTAACCCATTATTAGGCACTTAAGGCGATACAATGCGTGAGTTTAACATGGATTTTATAATTTTAAGTGTCAGTAAAACTAAACCAAAACGAAATTAAACTAAATGAGGCGCAGCGGCAAGCGCATGCAGAGACGAGCATATTGATGTAAGTATGTATGTATGTATATCCCTTACTTATTTATGCATGATTTTGGAGGCGCCAATTCCCTAATGACACCAATATTCATTTCATTAGTGGGTGTGAAGTGCTCTTTGTGATTGGGGTCGTTCTGTCGCACACGAAAATATATTCATACATACAGTCGTCGTTACATGTGGGTGTTATTTGCCGCTACTGTGGGTTATCGCTTAGCCTTTGGCGCGACCCTGCCTTGCCCTGCTCGGCTTCGGAGCTAATAAATAGCAATAATGTCACCTCCTTTGATAAACACACGAAGTAATGTGCCACAGCCGTTTGTCATATGCTGTGCACCCATAAATTTTCAAGGCAAACGCTGTTGTTATTGCTTTTTTTGTGCCGTTGCTACTGCTGCTGCTACTTGGCAGCTAGTCGTTTCCATAATCATAAATTAGACATTGTGTCAGTTCGAATTTGGTTGGAAACTTTTATGCATTGTATCATGCGCTTAGTACAAATGCATTTGGGTGTAGGTATACATACGTGTATATCTATATGTATATGTAGGCACATATTTACTTCTGTACATTGTATAAGTAAACCAGCCCAAAAATGCGAAGAAGATATTACCATTTGTTTTCTGCCTGAAACAAGCTGCCTGGAACTCAACTCCACTCCTCCATTCAGAAAAAAAGTAAAAAAAATCTCTTCCCATATCTACGCAAAATTGCGAGAAAACCGACTTGCCCGGAAAAGATGGCAGCAAACCAGATAACCGGCACTTACGAAGGAAGTTAAAACTATTCTGGTTTTCTAACTAATCTCTCTGGAACAGGGCCGGATCGTGAGCTCGATTTTTTTTTTTTTTTTGGGAAAAGGCTCCAAAATTTTGTACGCCGAAGTATGGTAGACATTTTATTTTATTATAGTATATCGATGGCTGAGTGGAAGATCGACCTATCTCGGCTGCCAGTTCGAAAACGCTCTATCTCAAAAAACTTTTCAAGAACGCCCTATTTCAGAATTTTATTAAAAAACACCCTATCTCAAAATTCGGTTCAAAAATGCCCTATCTCACTTCAAAATGTATTGAAAATATGCTGATATAGGGCGTTTTTGAATCGGCAGCTGAGATAGAGCGTTTTTCAAACGAATTCTGAAATAGGGCGTTCTTGAAAAGTTTTTTGAGATAGAATGTTTTCGAACTGGCTGCCGAGATAGGTCGATCTTCCACTCAGCCATCGATATGTTGTTTATAAATGAATTATATTTTTATAAATCATATGTTTTTGAGTCATATGTTTTTGAGAAAAATACACCGTAGTAATTTTAAAATTTCAAAATTACATTTCTCGACTGAAAAATAAAATATTTGAGCTAACTCGACGGCACACGGTGTGATTTTTTAACACTTCATGCCAATTAATCGTAGCGCTTTCGACGAAAATAATATTTTGATATGAAACAAAATGGCTTTGAAATCTAATGTAATTACCTTTCAAAATATTGCCATTGAGCCACAATCACTCCTTGATCGTAAAATAATTAGTCAAAAATAGTGTTCTTCGAAAAAACATGTAAGAACTGTTTAAAAAACGAAAAAAAGAAATTCAAGCCCTCAATTTGAAAAATGCATTACTTATATGTATATTGCATTTTTTTATGATTTGCATGCAGCTGTGCATCCTTCACATAATTTTATATTTTCACAATTTTAATTTTTCTTTTTTCTTGACAGTTCAAATAATTTTTTCGGTATTCGAAATGTTAAAAAAAGTTAGGCAATCGTGAAAAATCACTATCTCTATCGAAGACCGGAAGCCTGAAATCGAGGAAAATTAACATATATGTGTAAAAATTTTATAGAATCAATTGATTTATTTTTATTAAATTTTTTTTCCTTTGAAAGTTGAGGGCATCTTGTGTTTATAGAACTTAGTAAAAATAAAGTGCAATTTATGAAACTTTAAAACGTTTATTTATTTATTACATACTGAACATAAAACTTGCATAAAAATGCATATATTTTAAAGAGCGTATTATCTGAAGCGGATTTTTAGTATTTTCTGGTGATATTTCTTCAGAAGTATAAAGTATATATTCCTGAGTGCGCCCCTGCAACTAACCATTCATTCTGTTAAAACTTAGAATTTATGTATCACTACCAACATTTTTTTATAGCTCATTAACCAATTTCCCTTTTACTATCTTTCTCGCGCACAGTTCAATCAGGATTTGTACTCATCGTCGGGCGTGCAATTGGCCTCATCGAGCGCCTCTGGCAGCTCACATTCGCCCTGCAGTCCTATCCTTCCGCCGGCGGTGAGTGCTAATGCTGCCGCTGCAGCAGTAGCGGCCGCGCACAATACCGCCGCGGCGGTAGTCGCCGTCGCAGCACAAACGGCCAATCACTCGGCGAGCATAGCTGCAACGACGAGTCTGCCGTTAGGCGGCGGCGGTGGCGGTGGCGGCGCTGGTGTACCTGGTGGTGGTGGTGGTGGTGGTAGCGGCAGTATAGGAGGTGCTGGTGGTAGTGCGGGCGTTGCGAGTTCATTGCTTGGTGCCACAGGAGGTGGCGGCGGAGGAGTGGTCATTGGTGGCGGCAGCGGCAGCAGCGTAGCGGTCAGCAATGCGATACAACACAGCAGAGCGCATACCAAAGAAGAAGATATGGGAGTGCAACGAAGTGATGCTGAAGGTAAGTGTGTAAATTTAATTGATATGCGGTGAATTTGCACTAAAAAAAGATTTGTAGACAGATCTCATACATATGTATGTATGTATGTTGATATATCTACCCACAGCGCGTTTGGTTTTTACTGTTATGTAGTACTTAAGTATTAAGAATGCGATATAAAACCAATTTAGAAAAAATATTTAAATTTCGCGCTGGCATTTGCGACAGAATTTTTATGCGACATCTAATCGTTCTTTGCGAATTATACGCATATTTTTGCTAGCTGCTGCGAATATTTATCATTTTTTGTTTGAAAGCGATCAGCCTAACCTCACTGGCCCGACAATACATACATACACTCACACACTCACGTGAAGACAAGTTCACTGAAATGTGTTTAGTTCGCGGGCAGGTGTTGGTAGTGAATTCCAGTAGCAGCGTCGCGCCTTGATCGGAATGCGGTTGCGCACTCTTTAGTGCGTCGCGTCGCTTGGCGTTACCGAGCGTTTAGCGTCGCGCCGCTTCTCATTTCGCCACAACTCAAGTCCATCTGAATTTTTCAAATTCCACAGACGAATTTTTAATATATTTTTACTCCATATACATACAAATTTGTACATATGAATGTATAAGCATAGGTATGCATATCTACATACTAAATACATGTGTTTATGAAAAGCTTTTGCGCTTGAATGCGCGCGCGCCAAAGTGACAAAACCGCTGCTACTGCTAATTAATTTGCAAAAATTTTTCAGATTTTTCAATGTCATTAACTTTAGTATCCATTAATTTCATTTTGTTAGCTATGTATGTACGTGTGCATGTACATATGTATTTATATGTATGCTAGTCTCATAGCCGTCGAAATGTAAAGAAGTGTGGAGAAATATTTGAAGAATTACACAAATAAATGTTTATCACTAAATTTGTAGGCGCAACCAACTGTCAAAATGTTTATTTGCTTTTACAAAGTTGGAGGTGTTGAACAAACTAGGTGTATCTACTGATTAATTATGGAAGAGCTTTAAATGGTGATTAGCAGATTTCCTGGATTTTGTTTGTAGCTGTTCGCATAAAATTAAAAAAGTGGATTGGTTTGCATTTAACTTACATACATACATATGTACATACATACGTCACATAAAAACTTCGTATTGCCATCTTTATTTCGGTGATATTTTCGTGAACAAATGAATCTGTCGTCCGGTCGGTCGGAACGGACGCAGATGTTTAAGGACGGCTCTTTTTTTAGAAAGCATTGTCCTTAAGTCACTACTTGGAAACTCCTATATGTTCTAATTTCTTGGTATACCTCATGTTGAGAGGCTGAATTGGAAATACCGGTTTCACCAGCAATTGTGAACAATTATTTTTGTTCCCGTCTGTCAGTTTTTATATTAAATTCAAAGTACCAGGTGCACCGAGCTTTGCCCGGAGTGCATAGACTTTTTAAAGTTTTCAAGGTTTGGATATCAAATACTGGTCATTTGGATAGCATCAAAAAAAATATTTAAAAAAATTTGGGTTTCGATATCTATGAAGTAAATTTCTTTCTCTAAAATGTATATATATGTACTGGGTATACATACATACAAAAAAAAAGCTGATAGAAATTAACAAAATAAAAATTTGTATTAAATTGAAGCATGACAACCCTGATCGAAAATATTTTCGGACCAAAGTGCTCAACAATACCTTACATTTGATATCCATATTGCGATGTTTTAGATAAATTGTGTAGAATCGAAAATAAGTGGCAACCTTAGACTCATATCCTAAGGGATAATATTTTTTATATAGGGAAACCATTGTTTAAGAACCTTCTCTTGGTACCCATGAATAGCAATATTTAACCTTTTTTTCTAAACAAAAAATTAAATAAGTTTGCGATTCAAAAGAGGTGGCACCCCCATTAAACCTATTTTTGAATTAGGGACCTTTCATTTGATACCCATATTATAATGTTTTAATTAATTTGTAACTAATTTCGAATAGGTGGTAACCTTATACCAGTCTTATCGGAGATAATGCCTATTCAGATAACCTTAAAATCTAAAACATTATCTGTTTACAAAATATAATCAAAAACGTTATAGCCGTTTCCGAGAACCCTATGGATATATATATATATATATACATATATACATATATATATATACAAGAATTGCTCACACATAACAACTTGTATATGAACAATTTGTGGTATGGGAGATATAGCTTATGCAGTACCACTTTTGACGATTTTCTCAGTAGACTTTGTATCATTATTTGGAAAGTAGCTCACGAATTAGTTCATTTTTAGCCGTCCAAATTAAGTAGTTTTAAAATAAAACCCAATATCTGAACAATCAGTTGTACGAAGGCTTTAGGTTATAGTGGCTCGAGTTTTCTGATTCCGACAAATGATTGATATGTTGCAAAAATACGTCCGCTTACCAAATTTCAGTCGGATATCTGAAAAACTGAGTGACTAGATTGCTCGACGTTCTCATCATTTAAATATACCTTTCCATGGGTCTATCTCTTCTTCTTCTGGTACTTAAAAACATCGGACCAAAGCTATAATACCATTTCATATTCATGAAAGATATAAAAATCATTTTTCACTAACATTTACATTCGTGAAATTGGCTATTAGTTTGTTATATGTTTTTTTTTTTATAAAATTTAAAGCAACAAAAAAATAGCAATTTATAAAAAAATTTTTTTAATTTTCGACCGTGACAGGACTCGAACCTGCAATCTTCGGATCCGAAGTCCGACGCCTTATCCATTAGGCCACACGGCCCTCGAGTTGCCGCTTGAGCATTGCTACACTTAAGTGTGCGCTGTTGTTTGTACAACAACAAGCGCATAGCCAGTATTTGTTTCGGCATTTTTAGGGTACATACATACATGCATACATACATAGATTAGCTGGCACGATAGAATGATGAAAATTGTTAGCGAAAATAAATGTTTGCCTAAATGTTTTTATGCAAATATTAATGTTTGTAGATATTGGTCATGTATGCACATTAGATTGCATGACTCCCCATCCAAGAAAAAAATCGGTACTGTGTTTCTATTGGAATTGTAAAATCTATTTTATTTTAACACTTCCACCAAAATATTTCGGTAAAATATTAAGGTTAACGTGAGCTGAAAATAATTCCAAACAGGGAGTTTTTTATGAATAAAAATAGTTTCTTAAGGATTTTTTTTCTAAAATCCCCTCAAATCACCAAACGGTTTAAGCTTAAAAATTTTGCATACAAATATTTAAAAAAAATGTAAAAAAAATTTCTACGGAATCGTTATAATGAAATTTTTGATGCTGTTTTTCAAAGATTGGTGTAAAAAAAAAATTGAACAAGTGAACCTTAACTATTCTGATTTAGACTTGTGAGGTATCATTGGAAAGATATTTTCTCACCCTTTTTATTTATTTTTAATAAACTCATTCAAAGAATGAAGGAGAAAGATAAGATGAACGAACCCCAAGTTGAATTAAGTTGTGTTGGGATTTGAAAAAGAAAAAATCGGGGCGTGAATAAGTTTTTTTTTTGCATTAATAAAAATAGTGGGAAAATATCATTCTACTGATGACTTCATAAGTCTAAACGGAATAGTTTTGGCCCAGTTATTCAAATTTTCCATAAACCAATCTTTAAAGTTAAAAAACAGCATCAAAAATCTCATTATTACGATTCCGTTGAAAACATTTTTAAACATTTTTATGCAGATTTTTTAAGCTTAATCTGTTAAAAAGTTCTTTGAGAAACTCGTTTTTTTTTAACTGCAAGTTTGGAGGTAAAAACCGCAACTTTTTTTTGGTGATGCAGTCTAATGCACATACATACACGTTTACGTAGACGGTTTTTGATCCCAAGTCTGACTTTATATAGTTCCCGATCAGAAAACAAGAGATTTCTCCCGGTCCAGGGAGCGCTGTAGTCCACCATCTGAAATTTCAGCGCGATATTTTTTATACATAAATTCGTCATTTCACTTCGAAATAATTAGGAGAAGACTGGAATTTTGCATGGAATTATTTTTTGGGGTTCTAGTTAGTCTACATATCAAAAATTCTGGTCCTTCCAAGTGCCACTAGAGATATTACGAAGGGTCCAAGGCCACAAGAAACTGCTGTTTGCAAAAATCTAGTTAATGATCACTTTTGCTTAGGATATTAGTTACAAAAATATCAAGCGAAATCGAACCTTTTTGATAAATTTTCGGGCAAATACCTAATTTTGTGAGAACAAAAAACCTTTTGCCAAAATAAAATAAAATTTTTTGAAGCAAAGAAATAATGCAATTCATAATTATTCCGCTGATTTCGAATATATGCTTCGTTTTCTTTTTGATTGCGTTTGTTACCATTTCACGATGGCGTTCACCGTACACCGTAAAAAAAAATTCCAAACATTGTCTATTTGCGGGTGCACAGTTTTTTTTCTTGCGGTGCAGTTAGGCTTGTTAACGCATCCGTTTAGGTGAAACGGTGCCACATCGCTTATGATGTGTTTTTTTTTTCATCCGCATCAACGTTTGGATCACTTTTACGCGTTGTTCAACTGAGTATCGCTTCATGACTAAGTTTGCTAAAGCCTGTACTACCAATTGTCAGGAATCACAAATAATTCCTGTCAAAGATCTGCATTATGCTTTTATCACCCTCTATTCATGCATACCGTATTCATAAACATGAACAATGTTATACTTCTTTTCCACCCAAAAATTAAAAAAAAAAAAAGTTAATAACGAATATTTTTTAATAATTAATTCATATTTTCCACAGCTCGGCTAGTGGGTTCACATCACAACGAGTCCTCCTGCTCATCAAGTCCTGATTCACCTCGCCACACATTGCACGGAGCACAAGCGAAGGAACTGCCCCTGCCGTTGGATAGCTCGAATGTCAACGGACAGGGTAGAGCACAATACTTATCAGCCACCTGCGTCGTATTTACAAACTATTCCGGCGACACGGCCAGCGTTGTGGATGAACACTTTTCGCGGGCGCTCAATTTTAGCAATAAAGAAAGCAAAGGTGAGTAGTTTAAAAATGAAAAAAAGTATATATAATTTAATAGTTATGTAGACGCACATGGGAGTGCATTTCTTTCATTAATTGCATATGTATGTACATACATATGTATAAGGGTGGTCCTTAAAAATATCAGCATCTAAATTTTTTATGGGTTCTACGTATGTACAAAAAATAGACACCTGAGAAATTTTCAAAGTTTTAAAATAGTTTTTAAGGGTCGCTGTTATCAAATCTAGTGTTGTGATAAATATATTTAGTTGACTGTTTTCTGTGTGTATCCTTTGATTTAAGTTTTTTTTTCATTATAGAGCATTATAGAAGGACAACGAGAGCCCAAAACGCATTTTTTTTAATTTTTTTTTTGGGCTGTTATATTTGTGCAATGGTATTTTTGCGAGTATGATTTCGTTGCAGGGCTTCGGAGCGGATTTTTGTTTATCGATTTCATTTTCGTATACTTTGACGATCCGTTTTTCCACCATTAGCTCCGTTCTCGCTCCCAATAAGAAACCATTTTGTTTATTTACAGCCTTACAACCGTTTGCCCGCAAGAATGATTCGTCTGCCGGTTTAAACGTAATCGAGATGATTGCAACTTAATCGACGTATGTAAGATAGTAGCTGAACGTGCAGAGGTGCTTGCTGGTATTTGTTGGCTTATGCCGTCAGCGGCAATACATAATTTTTATTTTTTTTGTTTTCTGTATTTGGTTTTTCTTAATTGCGAAAAAGCATCTGTGAAGTGCAGAATCAAATTAAACGACGAAGAAAATTGATTCAAGTTAAACAGTTAAAGACAAATTTATAAAGCCGCTGTAGCTGAGTGTGTAGAGATGGTTGCCGTTATTTGTTAATCCCGTCAGAGGCAACGTGTAAATATGTTTATAAAAATTTTTGTTTTGTATCTCCGAATTATGAAAAATCACCTGTGAAGTGCAGAGCATAAACGTAATCAAACAAAAAAATCGACAACCAAAAGTTTGGTTAATGTAAACAAAAATGTGGTTAAATTACCAAATAATTGTTGAAAAAATCAACCAAGGCTATTGTTAATATTAACCAAAAATCACTGATTCCTTTTCAAGTTTGAATTTGGTAATATTAACCAATTTTTGGTTAATTTTTTGCTCAGTGTAGATACATATCGAGCATTAACCGCCAAAAGATTAGCCAACATTTTTTTAAATTTTCTTATTAATATGAACCCAGTGTATTTTATCTTGTAAATAAAATGGCAGATATTAACCCAGCAAGCTAAAAATCTGAAAATGTATCAAAAAACTAAAAAACATGCGGCAGAAACGTATGTACAGGCAAGAACCAAAAATTGTTTTGATACGGATACGTTTTTGAACGTTTTTCTGAAATTTTTCCTATCGAATTTTTCTATCAATACGCTTTACTTCTAAACTTTTCAAATATTCAACATAAACAAATAAAATACAATTATTACTTTCAAATAACATGGAACGTTTTTGGTTACGTAAATGAACGGGAGTCGTATACCGTTCTTTTTCGCATAAAATTGACGAATCTCTGCTGGCTGGGAAGTCATTGTTTTTTCATCGCCGTTCAAATTGACTGACTGCTGGGCATTGTGCAAGGGACAGTATTGCCAAGTAAAAATAGAATGAAAATTTATTTAACACGTTTGTTTTCAGTGGCAAAAATAAAAAAAAACAATCAAGTAAATTTAAATTTCTTTAAGCAGCTAAGGAGCAAATGATTTTTTTTTTTTTTAGCTTTTTGCTCCGGCTCCTCTCCAGCCAAAATCCTTTGCTACTTAGCTCCTTGCTTCTTTGTCCCGCTCCGAAGCCCTGCTTCGTTAGAAAGTAAATTAAAGTACGCGAGAAACCGCTTGTTTTGATGGGACCAAATTTCGAATTTGTGCGATTTTTTTTAAATATAAATTTTTTCAAACCCTGGAAGCGGCACCTAAAAATTATTTAAAAATTATGAAATTTTCGTTGATGTCTTTATTTTGTTATAATTAAAAGGGGGTGCCTCATCAAAAATTTACATATATGTTAATATTTTAGCGACCACCCTAATACCTATGTGTGTTAGGTGTTTTTACAACAACTGAATGAGACTGTTAATAGTGATAAAAACAAAACACCTCCAAATGCAGATTTTCCAGCGAAATCACACCGCATAAGTATACCTGCATTGTATGTATCTATGTACATATGTAAGTGCATATGTGCATTAGAGGTATACGCCGCCGAGCCACGCCGCCGCCGCCGCCGTTTTTTGTCATTTTTNCATAGATACATACATATGTATGCATGCTGCTGTCTGTTGATTTCTCTTGCGCCAATTTTTTCTATGAAAATTGCACTTGAAAATTGCCGCCTTTTGGTGTCGCTTGTCGTGAATGTGCCACAGCAGCCAGCCAGCCAGCGAGCCAACAAATCAACCAGAGCCGCGCCAACCAATTTCGCCACTTTGATTTGATTTACATGACTAATGATGCCTTTTATAATGCGCCACGCACGATTTTCATTATGGGGCTATGCGATTGTGCAGTTGAGTGTGTTTAGGTAGGTTTTGAGATGATCAAAAAGCGGCTGCTGTCATGTAACTGTCAAACGTACTACAGTGGCGCAATGTTGGTACCCACCACGTCCAACTCATCATCAAGTGTGTTGTATTATGTCAAGAAACAGACGGGTATGGGAGGAATAGTGGGAGCAGATATACACATGTAAGAAGAATTGAGTGCCAAAAGTAATAAAATTGTTAAAGAAATTCTATCTCTCAGTTTGCTGGTGCGTTTCTAGACGCGCCCCGCCGCCGTATCGTCTTGTACATAAACATGTAGTAAATGCCATGTCATAATGAGTGTGTACAAGAAATTAACACGAGCGAGTTTTAATTCAAATTGGTTTTGTTGTCGCTTAGTTGATGTCTCAATTTTGCAAGTCTATTGTTTTTTTGCTATGTTGTTGTTAATTTTTGGCAAAACATAACTTTCTGCCTCACACAATAACTTCATAAATTAGTCAAGGCGTGGCGTGGCGTGGCGTGGCGTTGCACGTTGCGCTCAACCGCTTCGCCGTCCGTTAGCGATAGCGGCGGCTGCGGCTGCGGCTGCTGCAACCTCTGGTGCTGTCAGTGCCTGACACTTGCTGCTTGTTCTTTTCGATTTCGTAAAATTAATTACCGCATTTAATGAAGATAAACGCGTTGTCTTAAGCACATGACTTGCCTTTTTTCGTGTCTTTCAACGTCTCATTTCGTTCTTTTGGTTGGGGTTTTCTGCTCGCTTACTTGTACTTTCACGTGTCGCGTTGTCAGTTGGTTTTCTTTAATTTTACTTGCATATTTTTTGCGTGTTCATCAGTGTGTTTTGACTCATTAGCGCAAATGTTGGGGTAAAAAATTTAAAGTGTAGATAATGTAAACGTTTGGCAATTGAGGCATTGTTTTTCTTGTTGTCACTGACTGCGCCACATAAACTTGACGAGTAATATATGGAAAATGTATGTATGTAGTTACCCCCCGTATGTTTCAAAAACCAGTTAAATTAAGCTAGCTTAATGAAGTATGTAATTGAATTACATTGGTACATATTAACTAACCACATTTTTACAAAACATCTCCGGTTCTGCTTACCTGTGTTATATTATATATATTGGCCACTTAGTCATAATGTGAAATATGGAAAAATAGTTACACAAAATGTACGAAACTTGGCAATACATACTGCCTTAACCCTATCAAACCTTGCGATAGTAAATTTTACTCACAAAAACTCAATATAATCGCTGCGTTTTTAGTTTTTCTCTCTGACTGGTTTTCGCCCAGCGCTAATCTTACATAAAACCCATCTATCCAAGAGTGTACCATCACAACGATTTTTAAAAGGACTTTGAAATTTCATGGTTAGGATTACTTCATTCAAAAAATTATTTAAATAATTTAGGTCAATGGTTGAATTAAACATATCCCCGAAATTCCAAAGTCTTTTTAAAACAAATCCTGACATCAGAGAGAGAAACTCAAAACGTAATTTTACTATAGATATAGAGATATGGCCTCTAGTATCGCGGGCAGCGTCTGGCCTTTACTCCGAACGAAGTAGATTTACTCCGGTTTTTGAAAAATTTAAAAGCTACTCCTCTACTCCGCTTGTCTTCAAATCTGCTCCCCTTTTTCACGAGCGTTCTCGCCCTCTTAGAGCCGATTTTCGCAGTTAACGGAGTGGAGTTAATTCTTTCCAATTAAGTGATATAAGTTCTAAATATGAAATAAATCAGACCACAATTACGAATTTTCCAATTATCTCGCCGACATCATGCCATTTAAAAGCCCTGCTTCCTTAATGGCATCCACATCTGTCGTACGTTCTAGAAACCTAAATTTAAATATGTTGAAGGGTCCTCTGCAAAAGAGCGCTTCGCCGACTCCTCTGTCCAGCTTCAATCTATCTGTGCAAAAAAGAAAGAAAGTGCCGGCCAATAATGGGATATGCTTGTGCTTGGACCTAAAAATTCTAGGTATCAAGCAGAGAAATCTACCTTACCCAAATAATTGAAAAGGCAATGAAGAATAAACAGATGAACCTGTATGCATTTCATGATACATTAAATAGCTGATCTTGATAATTATAACGAAGCAATACTCTTGAGTATAACAAGGAAGGATATTCCTAAGCTCATAGCCGACTAGGTTATAAGTATGCTGTAATCGAGAAGTCGAACTAGAAGGTAGTAGGCGAACGGTAATGGCCACTAGTAGCTGCCCTTAACGGGGGGCCCTATCTCCCCTACTGTAGAAACTGGTTGTGACCTAATGTTAAGAAAAACCAAAAGGGAATGACTTGAATGCATATGATATACTGATGACCTTGTTATCTACATAGTAGGATGGGACGAGGACACCTTATGTTCCAGGAAGCAGTCTGCTCTAAACTTAACTGTGGGATGGTATACTGAAAAAGGGCTGTCAATTAACCCAATGCAGAAGGTAAATTTTAGCAAACCAAAATTTGGTGG